GTCCGATTTTATTGGTAGTAGAAAAGTAGTTTTACTTGGGAATCGTTTCCGCGGGTTTGTTGTGTTTATACCCTTTCCGCCACAACACTACCTCCCCAGTCCCACAGAATATGATTGGTAAAAAGGTGGCATGGTTTGTTTTAATTCAACTGGAATGTGGAACTGGAATGTGCTCTCACCATAATTGCCTGCAGAAGTGAGTGATAAGATAAGAGCAATTCCGCCACCGACTTACAAAAATTCAAGAAATTCTCTACCAAATCGCATATTCGTTCCTGACACAGGACGAATGGGACTAGGAGGATAAGGTGTGGAACTTGATTTTGGAGGTTACATGTTCAGGAGAAAGTGAGAGTATTCCTATGGTTACTTTACAGGGTTGCTCTCATGTGACTGAACCGTTCAATCGACTGTAAAACTTGTCTGGTAACCTACAACCTATCCATTCCCGGTAAGCAAAAAAATTCTTTTCTTATCTAGTAATTGATAACAGTTAGTAAAAAAAAAAATTTTACATCCCGCGGCACCAAGAATCCCATAGATATCGATAATTAACTAATACTTTATGTCTCCATTCAATGGGCTCAGACTCCTTTGTTCAAGAATAAATTTTTGTTCTACCGTTACTTGAATCAAAGAGAATATTAGAATACCCTTTGGGTACACTAAGGATTGTTTACTCTATTTAACCAATTGGTGTTGATGCAGGCGGAAGCCTATCAATCAGAATTGATCTAGGTTTACGAATATTCAGTCCGTCAAATTATCGAAAACCTAAAATTAACACTAGTTTAAATCACCAACACATGGAACACGATAAACTAGTCTACTAATTTGATCATCAACAAATGGACTAAACGAATTAGGTTTGAGAATGAAATCTCATTTTTCATTTATCAAAACAACAACTGACGTACAAAGTGGCGGCCAAGCCTTTCAATAAGAAAAGAGACGCTGGAAAAATAAACCCTAATAAATAAACCACATGGAATGTGCTCTCACCATAATTGCTTGCAGAAGTGAGTGATAAGATAAGAGCAATTCCGCCACCGATTTACAAAAATTCAAGAAATTCTCTACCAAATCGCTTATTCGTTCCTGACACAGGACGAATGGGACTAGGAGGATAAGGTGTGGAACTTGATTTTGGAGGTTACATGTTCAGGAGAAAGTGAGAGTATTCCTATGGTTACTTTACAAGGTCGCTCTCATGTGACTGAACCGTTCAATCGACTGTAAAACTTGTCTGGTAACCTACAACCTATCCATTCCCGGTAAGCAAAAAAAATTCTTTTCTTATCTAGTAATTGATAACAGTTAGTAAAAAAAAAAATTTTACATCCCGCGGCACCAAGAATCCCATAGATATCGATAATTAACTAATACTTTATGTCTCCATTCAATGGGCTCAGACTCCTTTGTTCAAGAATAAATTTTTGTTCTACCGTTACTTGAATCAAAGAGAATATTAGAATACCCTTTGGGTACACTAAGGATTGTTTACTCTATTTAACCAATTGGTGTTGATGCAGGCGGAAGCCTATCAATCAGAATTGATCTAGGTTTACGAATATTCAGTCCGTCAAATTATCGAAAACCTAAAATTAACACTAGTTTAAATCACCAACACATGGAACACGATAAACTAGTCTACTAATTTGATCATCAACAAATGGACTAAACGAATTAGGTTTGAGAATGAAATCTCATTTTTCATTTATCAAAACAACAACTGACGTACAAAGTGGCGGCCAAGCCTTTCAATAAGAAAAGAGACGCTGGAAAAATAAACCCTAATAAAAAACTAAAATTACTAAAATATCCTAATAATGAAACCCTAATCTAATGTATATAATTTATTCCTTGCCACCATCATTCTCCCGGGGTTGGAGAAAATTCGTCCTCAAATTTTGAGTGAAGATTTGCCACGATCGAAAGGACATCCGGCTGATTGGCTCCATGGTCTGGGGCTTTTTCTTGTCACTAAACCACTAAAAGAATGCATTAACACATCCCAAATCATAATCATATTCAAAGGATGCCACCATGTAGGAACATGAGAATGGCTACACGAAGCCATTAATCCAACACAAGCACCCAATAAGGAGTTGATTGCACCAACTCCGCGGTTTAACCCACTAAAGTATATAAAGCCAGAAATCTCTAGAGCAAAAATAATATAGCTTCTCGCAGGCTTAGTGGCACTAACTTCCAGTAATTGCAAATCACGCGCTGGAGTACCATAATCAAAAGAACTACCCATTGAAGCAAAAACAGGCACTTTAAATAAACTAATTACTGAGGGAATTTGATTGCCTAATTTCAAGCTAGGTGGTAAAGGCTTAAATTCGGCATTAATAACATCAACAATATATGGTTTAGGGAGTTTTTTGGATAAGATTTTGAGCTCATTAAACACCATTGATTGGTGTATAACGATCCAGTCACGATCCGGTTGCACCATTAATGAAAAACTCCCCAATGCTACTTAACCAACCTGCCACCAAGTATATAGCAAATCAAAGCAGCAACGTCTTCTCGAATCTCCCTGAATTGAGCGAGCACAACCCCCCTTGCTACAATTTTCCACAAGATGTTTGGATAGTACTGTTCCTCCAATTGCGAGACAAGAAGTTGATGAGGCCAAATGTGTTGGACATCAATGTTTTTGGACGCATAAGAATTTACAACTGTACCTATTGTCTTTCTTCGTGGATGCAGTTCAAAAATAGCAGTTGAGTTCTCCTCCACTTCATTGGGATAGATGTCATAAATTGGGAGATTATTCCAATCAAGATCCAATCTCTCCCATGGATCATAAAATTTTATGATCGGTGGCCTTGAGGATCCATTTCAAAGGCACACTCATCAAAAGAAAAACCGAGGGTGAACGCATCATGGTGTTGTTGCCGATGATGATTAGAAATTTTGAGTTGTTGAATATAACCAAAGTTTTACTTTAATTATATAGAGCATAATGTTTCATTTATCAATTGAGAGAAGATATTCAGTATATATTAATATAACAGTGTCTGCTCTATATATATAGAGCCAGGAATACATGAAACCCTACGCTATACAAGGAAGGGATATATTTTAATATTACAAAACTATACATCTAACTATATCAAATTACACTATTACACAATATTTACTTTCTTAATAGTCCCCCTCAAACTCAAGGTGGAGAAAATGAAACCAGCTTGAGTTTGTTAACTAGAGTGTTAAAGCGAGCATGCGATAAAGATTTAGTAAACACATCAGCGGTCTGATCTTGTGAAGGTATATGAATCAGAGAGATAGTACCTTGCTGCACATGATGCCGAACAAAATGACAATCTATCTTAATGTGTTTAGTAAGCTCGTGAAACACATCATTATGAGCAATTTGAATAGCACTATTGCTGTCACAATAAATAGTAGTCGCAGAAGGCAATGAAACACCAATGTCCTGTAAAAGCCATCTCAACCAAACTAATTCAGAAGTTGTATCTGCAAGAGCACGATATTTAGCTTCAGAACTCGAACGAGGAACTACTGTTTGTTTCTTGCTCCGCCAGGAAATAAGAGAGTCCCAAGAAAGAAACAATACCCGGTGACAGAACGACGATCAGTGGGATCGCCAGACCAATCAGTATCAGAGTACGCACGAAGATCTAAAGTGGAAGATGATGAGAAATGAATACCATAAAATGGGGTGCCTCGAATATAATGCAAGATACGTAGGATAGCAGCATCGTGAGTGGTTCGAGGAGCAGACATGAACTGGCTCACAGCATGTACAACATATGCTATGTCAGGACGAGTAACAGTGAGATATACCAAACTTCTAACCAACTGTCGATATAAAGTGGGATCTCTCAGTGCGTTACCATCAGTTGGTGCAAGGCGCTCATTGCTATCCATTGGTGTAGATGAAATCTTACTATCAGTAACACCTGCATGAGATAAGAGATCAATAGCATACTTAGACTGAGATAAGTAGTACCCTGAACAGTCAGATGAAAGTTCTAAACCGAGGAAATAGGCAAAGTGTCCCAAATCCTTCATGTCAAAATGCTGACTTAGATAACCTTTCAATTATGAAATACTAGCAACATCATCTTCTGTAATGGTTATGATCATCCTCCTAACACTGTCTGTCGCCTCAAAAAGGCTCTTTATGGCCTCAAACAGGCGCCACGTGCTTGGTTTGCAAAATTCAGCTCTATTGTTCAACAATTTGGGTTTAAGTCTTGTCCTTATGACAATGCCCTTTTTGTTCGACACACCACCAGGGGAAAGACCTTGAGATCCAATTTGTTTAGTCCGCTGCATCGGCTGTAATAAATTTAGCATATATAATTATACAGGACTGATTGAGTTTAGGTGATTCAATTCAACCTTTGTTTAAGTCCTGAGCATTTGGATGTTGATACAGGAGACCTATATTATTTTCATTCCTCATTTCTTTCGGATTTTGACAAAAAGGTAGTTGATATGACCCTCTATTCTCTACCCCATAAAGATTTATATGGTTCAAGCTTCTTCCCTGCATCTAGAAGTTCAAGACCTAAAGCTAGAAGACTTTTTCTTTTCTCTTCTCAATACCATTGAGCTTCATCACTACGAGGCAGAATTATGGGTTCATCACGAGCAGAGTGTCCTATTTGATTTGAAGGGCAATGTTAATGTAGAAATTTTAGATGAGTTTTCTTTCAAACATTATGATACGATAGGGCTGTTTCCGTGTTCTGTACTACAATCAAAAGTTCAACACTTAATGATTTTCTAATGTATATAATTTATTCCTTGCTGCCATCATTCTCCAGGGCTTGGAGAAAATTCGTCCTCGAATTTTGAGTGAAGATTTGCCACGATCGAAAGGACATCCGGCTGATTGGCTCCATGGTCTGCGGCTTTTTCTTGTCACTAAACCACAAAATTGAGCATATATAATTATACAAGACTGATATGACCTAAACTCTATAGTGTTTATTAGTGATGAAAACCTAAACAAATTAGTCGTTCCTAGCAGCAACAATGATGAAGCTGCATTGTTCGAGTAGTGTGAAGTCCCCAAGTACGGACGGAAACTTAAATTCCATAGAAGTCACTTGAAATGGACAAAATGCAGAAAAGTGGGAAGACACTATGCTTGATGTTGATACTAGTCGTCCATCCTGCACTATCATAGGCATGCGGTGATGCCGTAGATTCTCAACAGTTGCAGAATCATCTTCTCCACTGAGTAAATCAACAACAGTGGCTTCAACAGAACCAGAAATGTCTTCGTCCGGATAAACATCAAATCTTGGTGGTTTTGTCCAATCGACGTCGAAATTCTCCCATGGATTAATAGCAAATTCAGAAGAAAATATCGCTTCCAGTTGCGGTGACATTTCTTAGAAACAAATCAAAGACAAATTGAGCTCGGTAATAATGCTTGGAGCTCGCTAAGGATTTGGGGCGTCATATTGCTTTCTTTTAGCGGGTTAGAGTTGAGATCGCGCAGCTGGCAATGGAAGTTCTCCACCAAGTTTCCTTTTGATCGGGGCAAGCTTATACCTACATCCGAAGACAAAGTTTCTCCCTCGTTGGGGAGCATTTCCTCACTTTGTTATTGCGACCGCCGGTTACTTCTGTTTGGTTTTTGATGCTCACGAAGGAGGACAGCAATGTTGTCTTGTCATTCATTCTCTACAGAAACAACGCATGCACTTCGGATTGATGAAGCACATCAGGTTCAAGTTCGATTTTCATTTTCCACTTCTCACCACACGTCTTTGCTTACAGAATGCTTTCCAAAATTGGTGCCTACGGATGGCTAATTTGGATGATGAGTTGAGAATGGGATCATACCGAACTGTGTTTATATTGTGATAATTTCAACCTCGTTGTTCCAAATGCTCCAATGGTTAGTCGTTTAGGGAGTTTTTCGGCTGTAATAAAATAAATAAGTAGATTAGGGTTTCATTATAATAGGTATTTTAGTAATTTAAGTTTAGTTGATTAGTGTTTATTTTTACAAATTATATATACAGAACTGATAGAAAACAATAATTATACAAAAATAACCCTATAAATGATACTTTAAAACCATAGCAATCTTTATTCCTGCGCCTCCATCATTCTTCCGGGTTGAGAAGAAACTCGTCCTCGAATTTTATAATTGCTTTCCCCGTTCAAATGGAAATTGAGCTGAGAAATGCCATTGATAGCTACCTAAAGTCGATTCCGAACTACTAAACGAAAGCACCGTGACATCCCAAATTATCATCATGTTCAAAGGCAGTGGCATATTTGAAACAAGATTAGACATGTTACGAAATTGGTCGCCTAGCAATTTGTGTCCACGCTTGTATAACACCTTGATACAAAAATATGGTGAAGCAAGAAACTCGGCAATTTGAGCATCCTCAAATTCTGCACTTCTTGATAGATGGAAACCACCGCAACCGCAAAAACTCAATTGTTTGCTTAGAGTAATCATTGGAAATGTAGCTTTGCCCTTCGGTAAAGCTGCAACCAAAGTCGGCGGCACTCAAATTGACTTCCAGAAAGCAAACAAAAATGACCACTCAAGTTTGGGTTATCTTCATCCGGATACACATCAAAACTCGGCGGTTTCGTCCAGTCAAGATGGTAATTCTCCCAAGGATCGCAACCAATTCAGGAGAAAATAAATCGGCTGGAGTCGGAAACAACCTTTGATCATTCTCAACCCGTGGATTGCAATACCGCCGCTGCTCCTCAAAACCACAATTCGCATCCACAGAGGAAGTATGTGTGCCAGCTTGTCCTGTCATATCCTCAACCAAAAACGAACCAAAAGTTTATGCGATTAATGAATCTATTAATCCAACTCTCGATCGGCCTAATCAACACTACAAACCCTTGACGGACCAATACGGAACTTCAATTCAACGAACAAAGGACATCAACGCAGCCGTCAATATCAATCAAACCAAACCACAAATAGATGAACCAAACGGAAACAATAAAATGGATCCGTTGAACACTAAAGGAAAAACCAAATTCGAAACAAATCACAACGTTGTCGGGTGAACCACCAGGAACGAACTTGTCTCCGATGCCAACCGAGAAAGTGAGAGTATTCCTATGGTTACTTTACAAGGCTGCTCAACCGTTCAGTCGACTGTAAAACTTGTCTGGTAACCTACAACCTATCCATTCCCGGGAAGCAAAAGGCATTCTTTTCTTATCTAGTAATTGATAACAATTAGTAAAAAAGAATTTTACATCCTGCGGCACCAAGAACCCATAGATATCGATAATTAACTAATGCTTTATGTCTCCATTCAATGGGCTCAGACCCCTTTGTTCAAGAATAAATTTTTGTTCTACCGTTACTTGAATCAAAGAGAATATTATAATACCCCTTTGGGTAAACTAAGGATTTTTTACTCTGTTTACCCAATTGGTGTTGATGCGGCGGAAGTTTATCAATCGGAATTGATCTAGGTTTACGAATATTCAGTCCGTCAAATTATCGAAAACCTAAAATCAACACTAGTTTAAATCACCAATACAAGGAATAAAATAAACTAGTTTACTAATTCGATCACCAACAAATAGACCAAATGAATTAGATTTGAGAATGAAATCTCATTTTTCATTTATCAAAACAACCACTGACGTACAAAGTGGCGGCCAAGCCTTTAAATAAGAAAAGAGACGCTGGAAAAATAAACCCTAATAAAAAACTAAAATTACATTAAGTTGATACGTATCAATTTCACTGGAAAGCCAGACACAAAATTTCCAGTTCTCTTTGTGCAAATTAAACGTGCCTGAAATGTCATCTCTTTGTCCCGAAAACTTATGTAAAGTTTCAATTCATTCAAAAAATATAATTACAAGTGAAACAATAACCAAAAAATCCTGAACTGATATCCAAGATGGAGCTTCAGCTTTTGGTAGACATTTGCTACTTACGATGAATTTAAGAAAAAAATCTTGATTTTAATACATGAGAAATGTAAAAGAAAATTGAAAAATTTGGACAAAGATCCAGATCGGGTTGTTGAAGTCAATTTATCCATGGAAAAAAATAAGATTAATTTTTTTTTTAATTTGGATTTATTAGTATGGTTCTCATCCCATGAACACACTTGGTGTATCTCATTTTAATTTGATAGATTTCAACTAAATGGTTCATTAAAAAATCAACAACTAGACCATAAAATTTTCTATATATATATACTAGTGATGTCTGGTCGCGCAATGCGCGACCCCGGCTCAATATATCTGTAGATCTTAGAAATGTTTGTGTCTGGAAAAAAAAATATTTTGTATTTGGCCCGATATATTTTAGAAATGTTTGAAGATTTTAGAAATGTTTTATAAGGGTTACTTCTTAAATATAAATAAACTTGATCGAGTATATATCTTGACGTAAATGCTAGACAAAATATAAAAGCATCCTAATAAGTTTAAATATTAGTAAGATAATTTATTGATGTTCTTCATTGGTTGTGCCACATCAATACTTAGTTTTGGAGATTTATAATAGCTTTGTAGTAAACTTCCTCCAAAGGGTATACGCTTAATTGTTGGAACTATTTCTTCCAAAAGTTTATAGATAGTAAAATATCAAAAATATGATTTTGAAACCGATTAATTATTGAAACTAATCACAAATACGAGAATGAAAATAATGTAAATTTGCATAGGTTTCAAGTTATAGCCAAAAAAAAAAATAAAATTCACCTCACCATGGAAAATAAAAAAAATAAAAGAAAGCCCATTAAAAACTTGAGAAATTTTTTTTTTCTGTAGGTAAAAATAATGTATAAAAACACAAATAAACGTAGAAACATCATTCATTCCCTCTCTACCTCAAATTCATAAAAGGCTTCCCATAAATTAGTTAGAAGAAGCGACCTGAACTATTTATATGATGAAGAACTAAAAAAAGTCCAAAAACCAAATCCAAAAAAGTATATTCTTGAAAGTCCGAACACAAAAAAAAAACGCGCTTCATTTGCAAATAAAATAAAATAATAATAATAATAATAATAATAATAATAATAATAATAATAATTGGTCAAGTGGAATGAAACAAAATCAAAAGCAATTAAACAAAGAAAAAACACACTTCATAACTGACCATATACGAAAAAAAATCTGAGACTCCATAATTAAAAAAAGAAAACCACTCTAATTGAATAAAACATAAAAAAATTTTAAAAATCATACTTTGTAACAAAAACTCAATTAATCAATTCAATCCAAACAAAACTAAAATCATACAAAAATTCTAGGCTAACTAACCATATAAGAAATCACATCATATTACCTGACAAAGGCTACGGTAGCTGTAACGGATGGACACATAAAAATAATAGTAATAACACTATTCTTGAACTGGAAAAATAAAAAATAATAAAAACCCAACAAATGATCTGTGGAAATAAAATCGTTTAAATTTTAATACCTGTAATGGCACCACCACAACGGCCGAAGCAAGATCAATGAGAATTTTTTTTTTTCTTTGTGTTTATATAGAGAGGTAAAGAGAATATTTTTTGAAGTCGAAATTTTATCCGATTAGAATGTAGTTAATCATCACTAATGAAAAGATTGAACATGCTAATAGGAAAGGAGTATATTTCATCATTCTTACAAGATCCATATGAAAAGAATTCGACCTTGTATTGGTTACCCCAGCTAAAGAATCACCAACTCAACATGTGAAGGCACTAGATTCTGCAACTGATGTTGGGCAAACTTTCTAGCATTTCTCTGCTCCTCAGGGTTGTCATAGGTAGAAGCAACTCCATAGAATGGCTGACTACGAGGGTCGACAACAATTCTCCGGAGGGCAACCGCATTTTCTAACAAGTACTCAACAAGTTCAACTTCAGCTGTTCGACCGTAACATCCACGTAATTCAACTTCTTTAAGTTGTTCAAGACCAAAGTTTACACCTCTCTTGTGTTCTCTACGCCTTCTAACTGTATTAGACATCCAATCCAACTGGAAAACCACGTATTATTTTAATGGAAAACATAAAGGTAAGAAAAAGCAAGAACAAAATCTAACAAGCAGAATCAATCAAAATATTTAAAAAGATGAGGCATACATCACATAGAAAAGTAAATAGTAAACACAAAGATTAAAGTTGGAAGGAATTGATTTAAGGACCACAGAGCAAGTTTGATGGTTCATCTCAAAGAGGAAAGCTAATGAATGAATGGCCTAGGGACAATCTCATAGACGGAGAACAACATGAGTGAAGCTACAGCAAGTAGTCACTAACAATCCAAGAACTTAAGATTTAACATTACGGTTTATATCATACCTCCAGTGTGAACTTTTCCAAGTTGGGTGATGCCCTTATAAAAGAAGTAAAAGGGATCAGGCTAGAATCTTTGTATGCCAAGGCAGATAAACAAAATTGCTTCAATTTAGGGAGTCGAGGAACCACAACTTTAGAATCATTTTCCTGAAACAATCAAACCATCAATGCACGTTCCGAATAAGGGTACGTATCAGTTTCCTTCATATCATAAGAGTTGTACTCCCCGTCCCAAAATTATTGTCCAGTTTGGATTGTCATTTTTAGTTCAAATTATACTAAAAGTAAAATCTCAAACTAGACAATGATTTTAGGACAGAAGAAGTACAATAATTGACAATTAGACTAACCGAAACCCTTGCTCGTATTGTAAGAACTTGGAGTTGGGACCAGAGACAGGAGAGCCAGGAAATAACACCGACAACCAAACTCGGAGACCATCCAGCAACTAATACTTGGACAAGCATAGGAACATTCTTAAGCCTCAATCTGTTCCCGTTAGTAGTTTTAAGTGAAACTAAATTTGAATCACTTATAGTGAGGGAACTTAACTTACGACAGGCTATAATCTCCAGATTTTTCAGCAGAAGAGACGAGCCGCACACTTCTAAAGTTTTAAGACAACTTGAGTGCACCACTGCCAGACATTCGAGAAAAGGACAGTTATGCAAGAAAAATTTGAGAACTCTGCCAGACACTCGTATATAACTAAAACTCAAAGCCTTGAGAGACTTGAACCCATAATGAGATGTTGCAAGAAGGAGGCTTGGAGGAAAAGCGTAGGGCTTTTTAGTAGAAACATTACCCACGGTAATATCCAGTCTCTTTGTCTTCCTAGCAAAAGCATGCTCAAGCCATTTATCAATATCATCTCGGTAAGACTGATTCAAATCAAACCGAATTCTGAACGTTTCCAAATCCAAGGATTTCTGTGATTGCAACAGCACCTTGTTAACCCACTCAACATACTTCTCTCGTTTCTGATGCCTCAACATGAGAAAACTAACATGCTCTCTTGAGTTTCGCCATGCAACATCTAATTTCTCAATTTCAGCCAAATCACTTGAAGCATCGAAATCTAGGCTAGGAGTGAAGGTCCAAAGATCAATCCAACGTTTCGAAACAACACTTGTTCTCATAGCATCTTCAAGCCTTAGAAAAGAGAGGATATAGATAAGAATTTCATTAGGGAGTTGACTGATTCGGTCCTCATCCAGTAGCTGCTCTTTGCTTGCACACTGTTCGGGGATGAGAAAAGTTTGTTATTACTCCCTCCGGTCCTTATTATAAGGCATTTTAATGGGTTCACCTAATATGTTTACTCCATTGAAAATCAAACCTTAAAACTAGATTTTTACATTCATTATATTCTTCTAAATATTAAGAAATATTTTTAAGATTTTTCTTTCAATTAAAAAAACATACTACGTAATCTAGGACAAATCAAAATGTCGGCCGAGAAAGTATTAGATATGTTTCTCCTTTTTGAGGAAAGATTATTAAAAAAAAAGAAACAAATGCAAAAACAAAAGCAAAGTGGCTTGGGAGTATTTTTGTTCAGGATAATCTAACAAATCAGGAGTACGTGTTGTTACCTTCATGAGTTGAAAGCCAGAGAGCAGCTTCTCTCCCATCAAGATTGAGAAGGCTTTCAGCAATTTTAGACCTTGCTAGCTGTTTATGAGGCTTCCTTCGAATATATATAGAGCAACTAAACATCATCAATAACCCATAACAGCTTAAATAATCTCCTTGAGATGGCTAAAGTTTCCAACTTTGAGGGGGAAAAAAAAACTTGCCAAAGTTCCAATCTTTAAAAGCCAACAAAATTAAAATATCATCAATGATATAAACAGACCAATCAAATCTAACTCTTCACATATTTGTTTATCTATTAATTAGTAGTTCGTAAACAAACAAACAATAAAAATTGACACTTGACAGGAACAACAGTTTATAAACAAAAAGGCGAAAAAAAAATACTCCCTCCGTCCCATAATTATTGTCCAGTTTTACTAAAATGAAAGATTTTATTTTTAGTCAAACTTAATTATATTTTACCTTAAACAACCGGATATACCCCTACATAAGTAATTGTTTAACTACTAAGATTTTATGGATAATGTTTTTTACTAAGGACAAATGTGTAACTTGATCCATAAAAAGTCAAATTGGACAATAATTTTGGGACAAAATTTTTTTGGCAAAGTGGACAATAATTATGGGACGGAGGGAGTATATTTTTTTAAAAAAAACGAATCTTGAGATGAGAATTAAGGATAGAAGAAACTTGGGGAAATTAAGAATCAACAAAAAATAATAATACTCCTAATAACCAGAGGATATACAAATTACAAGAGTTATCATCAACTTGTCCACACATCTTCTACACTTGTATCCGGAAAAGATTTCATAAGTAAGCATGGACAATATACAAGCAGAAGTCAAATTGTTTCAACCATGACACATATATGGGGAAGAAATAATACAAGCAGTAGAGAAAATCGAAACGAACCCGGGTAAAATCTCTAGTAGATAAATATGCCGCTGATAATAAAGTAATAAACAAATACATGCAGGCTGCGGGTAGATGGAGTGATGGGTGTTTAAAACTAAAAAGGGCAACCCTCCCCTAGTTTTGAACCATAGTAAAATCGGTCCCAATTTTCTTTACTAGTCTACAAGATAGATACACAACCGATAGTTACTCGATAAACGAATAATTACTTGATGAACTAGGGCAGAGAAAATTTTACATGTCACATGTATTTTTTAAACATAATTGTATAATTATAATAAAATAAACTTCAATGGAACCTCGGTCTTATAACTACTTGTAAATAAGTTTAAGAAATAAAAATATAACCGTCACGCTTCTTAATCTGTAGGAAGTCAATTTAAAACGGACCAGTCGGTATGACTTTTTTACTATTCGCTTCATAGAAGGGTATCGAAGTCAATATCCATCCCATACAAGCCCATGACTCGAAAACCCACTCTGATATGGGCTCTCATCTGAAAAACTGTGTAGCAATGATTGGGGTTAACATTTTACAACTGTTAATAACTTACAAACTTGTCTCAATTTTTCTACACACGAAAAATGCGAGATTATTTGTCTTTGCATTTTATAAATTGTGCCATTAGGAAATGAGATTTGGCGGTGTGTCTCAGAATCTCAGTTGCAAGTACAGCAATTTAAGTTTCGTATGAAGAATTCCGGATACATGCAAATCCATAGTGAGAATGACGGGGAAGGGCATTTTTCTCGACGATCGGTGGCTTCCTAGTTTTCCTTTTTTTTTTCTTTTTTCTTTTACTGGTACTGGAACAAGACTTCTGATTGTCCAAAAAACCCCAAAATAGGACAACTACTATATATATATATATATATATATATATATGTTAACCCCATTTGCTAACCACCCAAAACTCAACAAATCGAAGCAAAATTGCACCCGAATTTCTTCACCTCTCCAAACCAAATTGATCAAGATGGGCTCTTACCTCATAGTTCATCAAGCACCATCTTTAGCTGTTTCCCATGAAAATCCTAAGCTCGGTCATAGGTCAGCCAACTATCACCCCACCATTTGGGGTGATCATTTTCTTGCATATGACAACTCCGACGTTGTAAAGGTAAGGTAAAGTTTTTATTTATAAAAAATAAAAATAAAAAAATTAGTACGACATATCAGTACATTACTTGCACATTTCTCATTAACTCTTGTATTAAGAACTTGTGCAGGAAAATAATTTGTGTGAAATGGAGCCACAACAACCACCTCATGAAGTACTAAAAGAAGAGGTGAGGAAGATGTTTATTGCAGTTCCGGACAAATCTTCAAAGAAGTTGGACTTGATTGACGCCATCAACCGTCTTGGGGTAGCTTACCATTTTGAAAGTGAGATAGACACATCTCTATTAGCCATTTACGGAGACTATGATGAGCAAATCAACCACGTAGCTGGCCGAGAAGAAGAACTCTACATAGTTGCTCTCCGTTTCAGATTACTAAGAGCACACGGTTACCATGTTTCTTGTGGTAAGATAATTACATTTTCACTTGTGTATCCTTTTTTAAAAATTCATTATTCTTGCTAAGAGCACACGGTTACCATGCTAGTTACATTTTCTTGTGCCGTTGTGAATAATTATATCTTAATTTGTATCCTTTACGAAGAATGATACCAAAAACTAATAAAGTTGATTTGCCACTCAAACAATAAATATTGTGTAGATGTGTTCAACAGATTCAAGGATTCGGAGGGCAATTTCAAAGAGAGTTTGGCTGGAAACATTCGAGGCTTGTTAAGTTTGTACGAAGCAGCAAATTACATGGTTCGTGATGAGGATATATTGGATAAAGCACTGGTTTTTACAACCTCTCAACTCAAGTCCATGGTGCCAAATCTGAATAGTTCTCTTACCACCCAAATCAATCATGCTCTAGACATGCCGATTCACAAAACTGTGACTAGGATTGGTGCCAGACAATTTATGTCACTTTACCAAGAAGATGAATCACATGATCCACTTCTGCTAAGCTTTGCCAAGCTTGACTTTGGAATTATACAGAAACTGCACCAAGAGGAGCTAAGTGATTTAACAAAGTAAGTACTCTCTCCGGTCCTTATTATAACTCCTTTTGATTTGTTCTAAGTTCTATTTAGTATATTCTTCCGATTGAAAATAAAATCTTAAAAATATATTTCCACATTTATTTGGTTCTCCTAATTATTATAATATAGTTTTAATATTTTATTTTCAATTTATAGAACATACTAAATCAAACTTAAGCCAAATTAAAATGCCTTATAATAAAGACTGGATGGAATATTTTTTTTTATAGCTAAATTAGTTCTATTTCCACCCCAAAAAATGTAATCTACATTACACTTTGTGAATTATACTATATTTAGTGTAATTATAATATAAATTACAATGTATTTTTTTTAAACAGAGGGAGTACATTACGACCTTAGTTAATATCAATAATAAACTTTCAAATAATCATTGAAGATTATCAATTTATTCATCACTGAATTTGGTATTGGTTGATTACTATTAGATGGTGGAAAGGCTTAGATACTCCCAACGAAATACCATTTGCGAGAGACAGACTCGTAGAATGCTACCTATGGTCTTTGGCAATGTATTTTGAGCCCAAGTACAGTTTCGCACGAACAACTGTGGCAAAGTTGTTCGCTTTGACTTCCATATTAGATGACTTTTACGACATCTATGGGACTTCTGATCAACTCGTGGTCCTGGATAATGCGATACATAGGTATAATTCACATTTTATTTTATTTTTTTAAAAATTAGTTACCTGTTTGATGTTGGATTAACTTGAAAAGTAATTAAAGAAATATGATCATTACAAGTTAATTAACTTGTGTCTGTGTATACACATTTAGATCCTCTGCATTCAAACATTTCATTTCTTATAGCTTAAGCAGAATTTCATAGTTGTTTCATGTGTGATAGATGGGATATCAGCTGTTTGGATGAATTGCCTAAGTATATGAGACCATGCTATCAAGCCCTCTTAAGCGTTTTCTCCGAAATGGAGAAAGAATCATTGAAAGTTGTTGGCAAAACAAAGTCGGTGGACTTTGCAATATCATCGGTACTTAATCAACCCCTTTTTAGATACTATTTCCTTTGTCTCAAAAAAAAGAAAAAAAGTTCACATTGACTTTTAAAATTTGGTTTTAATAAAAATTTAAAAACTCAATGTGAATTATTTTTTTGGGATAAAAGAAATAATCACAATCTTTCTTATGAGGTTAATTAGTAATCAATACATAATTTATGGTCTTTTAGATGCAAGCAATATCAAGAGCCTACCATGAAGAGGCAAGTTGGATTCACGATGAAAATCTTCCAACATATGATGAGTACATGAAGCTTGCGCTGGTCACGAGTACATATCCGATGATTGTAACATGTTCAACTGTTAGTATGTGGGGAATAGTGAGGGAAAACGCTCTTGATTGGGTCACAAAAAACCCATTAATTTTAAGAGTATCATCAGCGATTGGTAGGTTAATGAACGACATTGTTTCTTTTGAGGTACGAGCTTATAACATATAATTGTAATAAATATGCAGTTATTATTAATTGGATGAGATCAATGTAATTTACTAAATGCATGTATCAGGCGGAGCAAGAACGAGGAGAGTTAGCTTCAGCGGTCCAATGTTACATGATGCAGTACGGTGTCTCTAAGGAAGAAGCCATCTTGGAGCTTGAGAAAGAAATTACAAATGCATGGAAAGATGTAAATCAAGAATGGCTTCTGGGTTCAGCTTCAGGGGTATCCAAGATCGTGCTTGAGCGAATTTTCAATCTCGCTAGGATCACGTATCTTACGTACAAAAAAGAGGATTGGTATACCAATTCCTTCAGTGTGACTAAAGACGTGATCAAGTCGGTGTTGGTAGATCCCATTGAAATGTGATCTTCAACCAAGTGTGCTTGTCTACAGCATCGTGTATATATGCTTGTTGAATTTCTGAATTGTATGGATAAAAACACTACTTGTGATTGTGCCCTCATTAATTTTCTTGTTGTTTTACAAATAAGAATTTTTAGTATTGTTATTTTAGTATAATGAAAGAGGTCAAACTCTAAGATTATGCTTATGGTAATCAATTACGATAATAATACTCCCTTCACGCTTACTATAAGCTATTTTGATTAGTCCTAAAATTTATTTAATATATTTTTATAATTGAAAATAAAATATTTAAAAATATATTTCACATTTATTGTATTCTCTTAATTATTATAAGATATGTTTAAAATTTTATTTCAATTAAAAGAACATACTAATTAAATAAAACTTAAGAGAAATAAAAATGAGCACATGATTATTGTACTTGGCTGGGAACTTTGCGCACCTGATTGATGCGAAAGTGGAAGTGTTGTTTTACGGATGATCAAATGTGAAATATGCAAAAAACTGCTAATCCATATCCGGGAATATATATAATTTCATACATGAGGTCATTATTTAATTCTTGGACACAAACGCTAAGCAACATCATTCGATTATATTCAGGGGCGGAAATCTTAAGACCGAGCGCCTCTGGCCAGCCGAAAATCCTCTTAAGAAAGGTTATGATTAACTTTATGTTATATATATTCGACCATCGATCTTGATTATGAATATATAATCAACCCTTCCAAGTCTGAGTAACAGGTTCTGCCACTAATTATATTAATAGTTTAATACAATTATATTACTCTGTCCCATATCTAATCTTTTATATACAAGATACAACTCGAAACTAAATATAAAGGAGCAAATATTGGTTATATTTTCTTTTGGTAAAAATGAATATTATTTATCTATAAACATAAATATACAGTTTCCAAGTAATGTTGACTGATAGATGAGTTCACCGGTCAACCCCCAAGACGTAAACTTATCGCTCAAGAAAGCTTCGTGCGCAAATGGGATTACATAACAGCAAATACACCCAACGTATATAATATGAAGCTTGTATTTGCAGTTACATGTAGATTGCTGGACTTGATAATTTCCTGCATGGTGACCACAAACTTCATGAAACATTCTTAATTACCCATCTTTACAAGACAGTAAGTCACCAGGAACGACAGGACGAGGAAACTTTATAAAGACTTGAGAATATTTCGCTAAAAAACAAGAGTGATATATTTAGAACTAGAATAATAATAGTTATGGTCTTTTCTTTCTTCCTTCCTTTCCTTTTTTTTTTTTTTTTTTTTGAGACTGTGTAATGATCAACAAGGAATTTCTTGCAAGAAAAACTCCGTACATTGTTTTACTCTTTTTATTCCACAAAAAATAATTCACTTTGAATTTTGAAATTTATACTAATGTCAATTTATTTTTATTTTGTTTGGAACATAGGTAGAGTATTGTTAAGCATATGAATAATTGTATATGAATTCTCTTTCTTCTGCTAATGACACATTTCAACGCACGGACAACAATGAACAATATTTATCTATATTGTTGTTCAGGAGACGTGGTTAAATTACCTGAACTTGGTGGTTAAATTCTATTGCGGTCACGATACTGTAAGGGAAGTCTCGCAGAAAAATAGCTCGACGCCATGATGATAAAAAGTTAAAACCTCTCATTCTTATTACTTTTTCAATATATGAAAACGAAAAAATCAAAAATCAAAAAATCGTCTTATTCAAAACTACATTATGACATCCCTTCTCTTTCATGTCACACCTCGAACATATCCTTCTTATAGTTATAAAGATAAACACACTTCATATCTCTTTTTATGTGTATTTTTATTCCTCTTTTCATAATTATTCCTCTTTTCATAAAACCAAAGAAACAAAAGTTGTTTAAAAAACAGTATGTGGTGTTTTCCATTGCAAATTTGGAAGTCTTAGGATAGCTAATCTCCTCTTTATATTGAATCTTCTATCGTCCAGTTATGTTCCATAAAGAAATAATATCGACCGTCTTGCGCTTCTTGTGAAATGGTAAAATATTTTTTGTTTTTTTTTTTTTTTTCATGCAACCTCAATCATTTTCTTTTATTTTTTTACAATTATAAAAAAAAATGTCGTAATCGGAAAAAGGACCGAAACAAAAACATTTGCAAGATTACCCAACCATCAAACGACAGTGGACGACACCTTACTCTCCTTGCCGCTCTTACTTATCTCATTCAAAATGAGATAACTTTATCTCGTCCATGTCATTCTCGCGAGAGCAAGACTTCCAAGTAACAAACTAATAATGATTTTAATACCTCTAGAGTCTAGACAACATGCAATTATTCAATTCTTTTGTAAGACAAAAGTTGTTATCGACAGAGATTTGTGAGATAAAAAATCCTAAACTCAAGGCAAAAGTTGTTTTCGACAGAGATTTGTCAGATAAAAAATCCTAAACTCAGTCTCCTGACCAGCTATGGACGAAAAATCCAGTTTCCACGTGAATAAGGTTGAAACAGCTCATGCATAATGCGTAACTCCAGTATCATAATTAATAATTAATTGTTAGGAATTCATAAGAGTAATCGACAATTTTTTTCGGGGGGTGGGGGTGGTTGAAGGCTCGACATTAGTCTTTAACAACTTGAGTTATGGAACTTAAGTGAATGTATTGGGTGAATTTAGTTCGCGTCTAAGGAATATTAGATAGTTTGTCAAGCATTAACGATTCCAGACTGTTATAACAATCTTCGCAAGTATTGTGTGACTATTCTCCTTCCATTTTGAATTAATTATCCAGTTGAAATTTCACTTTTGATATAATTAATTATATTAAAAATAAAAATTTAAATTAGACAATTATTTTGGAGATAAATGAAAAAATAAATAGTTTGTCGTGGAGGGGGGAAGGGGAAGAAGAAGAGAATATCCCAAACATGAAATCTATCCATACACTTCATTATAGCAAAAATCAACTTTTGCCTAAAAATCCAAGTGTCCAACTATCCTTAAAAGTATCCATACCCAGCCCCAAAAAAACACCATTCCCTTTTTAATTCATCAAAAAAAGTAAACAAAAAAAATTATAACTGTATTTAACCCTCAAACTTGATCCATGAGTTCAACAATTACTCTTTCAAGTTTCAACCGAAGTACGATCATTTATATCCTCAAATAAACTGTAATCTGGAACAAATCACAAGATCTCCACAATTCTCAATCGATTCCTTTTAGCCAATTTTTTTTTCCAAAATTCTCTATTGATTTCTTTTATTCAAATTTCTTATGGAATTTAAGGCGTACTACTAGGGTTTAATTAAAGTTAATAAAGAAGAATTCAGAAATTGGAGGAAAACAACAAGAAAAAAGAAGAAAATTTATACACTCCATTATAGCAAAAATCAATTTTTGCCTAAAAATCCAAGTGTCAAAGTATCCTTAAAAGTATCCATACCCAACAACAAAAAACACTATTCCCGCTTTAATTCATCAAAAAAGTAAGTAAAAAAATTATAACTGTATTTAATCCTCAAAATTGATCCATGATTTCAACAGTTAGTCTTTCAAGTTTCAACCAAAGAACGATCATTTATATCCTCAAATAAACTGTAATTTGAAACAAATCACAAGATCTCCACAATTCTCAATTGATTCGTTTTAACCAATTTTTTTTCCAAAATTCTCTATTGATTTCTTTAATTCAAATTTCTTATGGAATTTAAGGCGTACTACTAGGGTTTAATTAAAGTTAATAAAGAAGAATTCATAAATGGGAGGAAAACAACAAGAAAAAAGAAGAAAATCTACACACTCCATTATAGCAAAAATCAATTTTTGCATAAAAATCCAAGTGTCAAATTATCCTTAAAAGTATCCATACCCAACCAGAAAAACACTATTCCCTTTTTAATTCATCAAAAAAAGTAAACAAAAAAAAATTATAACTGTATTTAAACCTCAAAATTGATCCATGATTTTAACAGTTACTCTTTCAAGTTTCAACCAAAGCACGATCATTTATATCCTCAAATAAACTATAATATGGAACAAATCACAAGATCTCCACCATTCTCAATTGATTCCTTTTAACCAAATTTTTTTTTTCCAAAATTCTCTATTAATTTCTTTTATTCAAAATCTGGAATTCCACCACAGCTGGACTAAAGCGGCAGCACAAAAAAACTCCAAAATGTTTTGTATCAACTAGATCAAAATCTCCAATGTTGTATTTTTTGGATGACAACTTCCATGAGTAGATCTCTTATGTATTTATTTGTATCAAATTCCTTGAACGAATAGATGTTAAGGTGGAACGTTGGTTTCATGGAGTATGATTGAGTTCGGGGGTATTGATTAAATACCTTCTCAACAAAACCACTGATCATCTTGAAACCATTTGTGTTCAGGTTAGCAATTGGAACTATTCAGTTGATTTACTTAATTGTATTTTTGTAAGCGAAGGGAGTTGGTTCTTTTAATAAAGCGCAGATTACAGATTGAAAATTGTCAATTGCAAATTAAAATCACAAGTCATTTGCCAGGTATTTCTCATCTCATGGGATGTGTCCGGGCTAAGATACTATAATAAAAAGGTTTATGCTATTTTTATGCAATCAGTAATGAGCAATCGTTTAAGAGAAAAAGCATGTAACCATTTTTGGTTAGTTTTATACAAAAAAATGCAGGATATAATTTTTTTTTTTTTTTGGTTCTTTGGTGATGCTAAGAGATGAGAACTTCTGATTGATTTGGTTTAGTAAATTAGGTGGTGATCCAGTTAATGTTGTACACAGCTTACTTTATAATTTGTTGAGAAAAGTATAAAAAAAAATTAAAATTACAGTGTTATGCATATACGTATTGTACTTTAGCCACTTGAATTGAAGAATCATTGTTCTACGTACTGGATACTATGACTTTCTTCTAAGCTTCACTTGCAAAAAATGACACGGGGAACCATCATAGAGAAATGATGAATTTGTTTTTTTTTAAAAAAAAGGAATGATGAATTTGTTGTGAAGTCATTCTGTCACCCTTTGACTTTTGTAATTTCGTATAATCTGATCCAATTGATTTGCGATCATTTCTCTCTAATTAAAACTTCAACAGAAAAATTAAAGAATAATTTTCTCATGATATTAAGAAAAAATTATACATATAATAAAATACAATTTGCTTTTATGTAAGAAATCATAACACGCAAGCTAAGCTTTCATTTGTTTTATTAAAAAGAAAACTTTGAATTGAAATAAAAGATGTTAATGCATTAAATACTCGTGTGAATGCACGGGTCGAGAACCTAATTAATTTTAGTTTCAGACCCCAAAAATATCCAAGAAAAATAAAATCTCGCGTTAGACAACACGGTATCCAAATCAAGGAATATATCAAACTTACAAAATCAAATCTAAAAAGAAAACCTAAATCAATCCAGGTCTCAGTGAAAGGCTTGAAAAATTGAATTAATAAACAAGAATCCTCATGAATATTTAGAAGACATGAATTAAAGGTGCCGGAATTAGCAGTACCGTACGTCGTCGTATTTTTATTGAACTTCAAAATCACTTCAAATCTCAACCAGATCAACATGTATATATGGACATGTTTAATATGGTTGGAGGACGTGGAGGGAGACATAATATATCTAAAACAAGCCCCAAAAGAAAAATAAAACAGAACTTAAGAAATAGGGTTTAATGGCAAAGTACACCTTTCAAGTAACACAGCTAAATTTTGTTTCTTGTTTGCACCGTTCATAATGTTTTGGTTTCCGTATCAAATTCAATGGTTACGCTCGGGGGAAAAAAATTCATCGAATTACTCTATTCTCTTCCTTTTCTTCTTCTTCAAACATACGTACGACAACATTAACAGAGGCTGATACGATGATAACAAATAAGCTACGGCGAAAATTCAACCTAGCTCCGATCATCAATTGGAAGAATCTGCTGCTTCATCAGGATTCCTTTGTCCACATGTACGAAGAGAGTGAGTAATATAGAAAGAGAGTTTCAATTTGTCTTTCCATCGTAAAAATACCTATTGGGATGATGTGTCAAATTATCCACTATAATCTCAATCCGTCTTAACATAAACCACTTTTTCTTTTCTTTTCTTTTCTTTTTTTTTTGTTGTAAGCTAAACCACTTTGATTTAGCACTTCACGTATTAGATTAATTATAATCGATTTGCCACTTGTCAATCCTATGTTTCAATTTGTCTCCCATCATCAAATGCCATCAATTGCTTTAAGGAATATAACTATATAAGGTTGGTGTAATGTCTTAGTAAGTGGACAGCTGTTTCAACACGTACATCAAAAAATGTTGGATGTTGCAAATCCATCTACAGTCTAGTGCGATTGAGTGAATGACATGAAGATAAAAAGGAGGAAAAAAAAAAGAAGAAGAAGAAGAAGAAAAGAAGATACTGCAACAATCATCGCATGCATGTTTCTCAATTATCGAACTCGTCATTTATTGATAATCAACGGTTTTCACGTTGGGATGAATCTTGACTCTAAACTAGGTTATCTGATTGTACTGCAGGGCAGAAGAGTCAAAATTGTGAAACTATATACACATAACTCCATTTGCTACACTCTCTCCATATATTGTTAATGCCAAGCTATAAATGCCAAGCTATAAGTACCAACCAAAACGCGATTAAGAAAAAAGAAGAAGAAGAAGAAGAAAGAAGGAAACTGTAATCAAATTAATTTCTTTACTTTTCTTAAGCATCTAAAGATGGATTCTTATCTAGTAGCTCAATCAAAAGCTTCCGCCGGCAGTCGTAAGCTTGGTCATAGGTCAGCCAACTATCATCCAACTATCTGGGGAGATCATTTTCTTGCATATGATAATTCAAACGTTGTGAAGGTAACATACAATTAATCTCAATTCCTTAGAGTAATCAAATTGTTTATATCTTTTGAGTAATGATATATACAAAGAAAATGCACGAGTAGAACTTACATGAAGTAATGATTTTGGCCACTTGAATGACAACCATCCATGTTTACGGCTCAACTCTAGATTTATTTAATTTATTTAAGATTATGTAGATAGTTTAAATCCAGTCACATTATTTTTTATACGTTTTCTACTCAGATTATACTTGAACAATTTTCATGAACTGCTTAAACATGCGCAGGAAAAGAAACCTTCGGGATTAGAAGCACATCATGAAGCACTAAAAGAAGAGGTGAGGAAGATGTTTATTGCAGTTCCGGACAAATCTTCAAAGAAGTTGGACTTGATTGACGCCATCAACCGTCTTGGGGTAGCTTACCATTTTGAAAGTGAGATAGACACATCTCTATTAGCCATTTACGGAGACTATGATGAGCAAATCAACCACGTAGCTGGCCGAGAAGAAGAACTCTACATAGTTGCTCTCCGTTTCAGATTACTAAGAGCACACGGTTTCCATGTTTCTTGTGGTAAGATGATATATAATTACCTTTAAATAATTCACAAAGTTTTTTATATATATAAATGATACCCTAAATTAAACTAAATGGATATGCTACTGAATAAGTTCATGTGCATCTGTAGATGTGTTTAACAAATTCAAGGATTCAGAGGGGAAATTTAAGGAGTGTTTGCGGGGAAATATCAAAGGTTTGTTGAGTTTGTTCGAAGCAGCAAATTATAGGGTTCATGATGAGGATATATTGGATGAAGCACTGATTTTTACCACCTCTCAACTCAAATCCATGGTGCCAAACCTGAATCCTGCTCTTGCCACCCAAATCAATCATGCTCTGGACATCCCAATTCATAAAACTTTGATAAGGATGGGAAACAGACAGTTTATGTCACTTTACCAAGAAGATGAATCACATGATCCACTTTTATTAAGTTTCGCAAAATTTGACTTTAATATTCTACAGAAACTGCACCAAGAGGAGCTAAGTGGTATAACAAAGTAAGTTATTTAGCTAAATAACACTACCATAAGCATATAATAAAATGAACTTAATTTGAATAAATTGATGATGAACACTGAATTTCTTTGGTACTGTATGATTATTGCTAGATGGTGGAAAGGCATAGATTGTCCCAAGAAGACATCATTTGCCAGAGATAGAGTCGCTGAGTGCTACCTATGGTTTTTGGGAGTGTTTCCTGAGCCAAAGTATTCTTGCTCAAGAACAACTATGGCAAAACTGCTTGCTTTGACATCCTTATTAGATGATATTTACGATGTGTATGGAACTTATGATCAACTCCTCCTTTTGACAGATGCAATCCGAAGGTATTAATTGTACATAGAATCCTTTTAGTTAGCACATTTCTATGACTAACATAACTTGTGGCGGATATATTTAATGAGATTCTCGCATTCAAATGTTTCATTAATCATAATTGAGGTTAATTAAATCAATTACATGTTGTTTATGGCATACAGATGGAACGTCGGTTGTTTGGATCAGTTGCCTGAATACATGAAAACTTGTTATCAAGCCCTTTTAGATGTTTTTTCTGATATGGAGAAAATATCGTCCAAAGTTGCTAGCAAAACAAAACCAGTGGATTATGCAATATCATCGGTACTAATCAAGATAAATTTTTCATCAATAGTGCCACTTAAATTTTACAATCAATTACGTTATCATCTTTCTTATAGCTAGGTCGAAAATCATTACGTTTTTGCTGGCCTTTCAGTTGCAAACATTATCAAGAGCCTACCTTGAAGAGGCGAGTTGGATCCATTGTGGGCATCTTCCAACGTATGATGAGTATATGAAAGTTGCACTAGTCACTAGTACATATCCAATGTTGTCAACAAGTTCCTTGGTTAGCATGGGAGAAGTTGTGAGTGAAGACGCTCTTGAATGGGTCACAAAAAACCCAATAATTGTAAGAGAGGCATCGGTGCTTTGTAGGTTAATGAACGACATTGTTTCCTGTGATGTAAGTATTATAATTGTTAAATTGTAACTGAATATATATGTAGCCATGAAAACATAAGTTTCAAGCAACCGGTGCATATTTTGTGAGTTGTGGTGCAGGCAGAGGAAGCAAGGGGAGAATTAGCATCAGGAGTCAAATGTTACATGAACCAGTATGGAGTTTCAAGGAAGGAAGCCATTAATGAGCTTGAGAAGGAAAATATAAATGCATGGAAAGATACAAACCAAGAATGGCTTCTTAGTAGAGTTTCAGGGATTCCTATGTTCATCCTTGAGCGAGTTTTTAATCTCTTCAGGTTCATACATCTCATGTACCGAAAAGAGGACTGGTACACCAATGCCTACACCGTGGCTAAGGACTTGATCAAAACGGTGCTAGTTGATCCCGCTGAAATATGATTGACTTTGCATCTTCAAAATTGCTGGTTGATTATGTTGAAATATGCTTTATTTATATAGTTTTCACATATGGATGCTTATTGAGCAATGAGTGATCTATCACTCTATTATCAAGTTGTATAAATAAAAGACACAAGTAATTACATGCTTGCAATTTATATAGTTTTCACATATGGATGCTTATTGAGTAATGAGTGATCTATCCCTCTATTATCAAGATGTATGAATAAGAGACACAAGTAATTACATGCTTGCGCATTTATCCATTTATCTTTTTTTCTTAATAAAAGATCTTTAAATTTTCTTCAATCATATCAAATTACAATATATGGAACAAATATTGAAATGATTATCATTTTTCAATTGTTTGCTCTGGTGAGTAGCAAAATTGTTATTGTTAGTAGTGATAATCACATTTTTGGTAACAAAAACACCTAATTACGCAATATCACCGGCACTAATCTAGATGAACCTTTCATCCATGGAATTATCAAAATCTTTATGCAAGCATTATCAAAATCTTTATGATATTAGGGGTTGGTAAAACAAATTAATTAATGAATCTATAGTATTATACTAAGAAAGAAACCAGAAAGAGAAAATCAAACTTCTCCTAGAGGTTGACACACATGATAAAATCTTATGTGTCATTTTCGTAGAGATTGACACAAAAAATATTTACAACAATTACACTAACAGTTCTTTGAATTTCCATTTAATAAATTATTATCAATTCTTAATTAAATTCTATCAATTAACTGTGTGGTAAATCTTCTATTTTACATTCCCTGAAATGAAAAAGAAAACGAAAAATTTTTAAAATCTCAACATTAAATAATACTTTAAAATCTATTTTGCATTCCATTGTATAGCCTATAATTTCAGGGAATTTGAAGCTGAATGCTACTTTACAAATCTATAAACATCCCTATGCTAATCCTCGTGTGTATTCTTGAGAAATGAATGAGCTGATCATATTCCCGAGCAAGATCATATCAGAAGGTTTAATGGACATTGCTAATCTTTGTATAAAGTTATTAACTATGAGAATATAGATGTTTTCCTTGTTTTTATTTGTTGACTGCAAAAGATTTTTCGTTAATAGGATTGGCTTTTCCATATAAGCTAAACAGAAAAAACAAAACAACACAAAACAGCCTGTAGGAAGGAAGAAGTAGAAGAAATGGATGTTTGATGTTCTTAGTCTAGTAACAGCAGAAAGGATGGAGGAAACAAGAATATGTAGAAGCTTATGGCTTATCAGAGATAAAAATGTGACTATTGAGCTGAAACCTTTACAGTCTAATGGTGCATCTTTTGACATGTTTAATGCTAAAGCCTTGAATCGTTAAACAAGTAAAATCGAGCAAAATCACTAAAATAGCACAAGATCTGAAGGTTGCTAACTCACAGGTCAAACCAATGGTGACAGGTTGACAACAAAAGGGAATAAGGGGTAATGCCTGCACATTGGCAATAAATCCTTTTGCCTTCCCATTTGATCATATCAAAAAAAATAATGTCGCTAAAAGAACATACTCTGAGCAAAAAATAAAAGTAAATAAATAATGACAATCTATGCTGCAGCAACTAAATGACTGCAGACGAACTGCCTGTAATTTTCTCTTCAGGTCAAAAAACTAGATAAGACTCTCATTAGGTACATGTTTATCTTGTTTTCTATCACCAAGACCTATTACTACTATCCGTTTTTGTTCCCTTGTCTACAGTAATTTTTAATCTCTGCAAGAACCTCTAAGTTGTTGTTGTGAATCTTGAACAATCAAGGGAGCACTTATGGCCTACCATACTTCTATACCATGATGATGTTAAAAAAGAAAAAAATATATACAAGTAGCATAACTCACCTCAGAAATAATTAGGTACAACAAATATCTAGTATTTACAAGACTAAGACAATCATAATTTCTCAAAATAGATATTTGGCAAAACCATAAGTTGCTATCAGATTGTAACACAATCATTATTTCTCAAAACAGATATTTGGCAAAACCAAAAGTTGCTATCAGATTGTATTGTAAAAACTAACATGAAGCAATAAGATTTTTGAAAAAATATACTTAATGAATGTAAAAATAGTTGATGACTCCAAGCTCCAAAGACATGTATCAGGAATGCAGTGTTTTTTTTTTCAACTACGGATTGCAAAAAGAAATTTCAAAACAAATGCATAAAAAGCACAGTAGAATTAGTAGTGACATGGTTGCTAAACGAGGCAGTCAATTTATAGACAGACAAACCAAAGAATAGTGTCTGGGTTGTGTATAATCCCCTAATTCCTTAATCAAACTTTCCTTCTTACATCCATCAAAATAGTCAAAGATGACAAATCATTGTATTAGTTTGGAATTTCATCCAACTAGATTACTGTGTTATATTGCAAAGAGAAATTAGAGAGAAGCTATTGATGCTAGACTTCCCCATTCCTAGAACTATAATTGAATCATACACCTCAATTTAGGGATGACAATATAAACATAAATTTCCTAAGCTCAAAGGGTGCTAATGCAACCTCTTAAAAAAGCACTATTAACATTTACACATGCTACTAAAGTTGAGATGGAATTTCACTTTCAAACTTTCTGTAAAAATAAAGTATGATGTCTGCTGCTAAAATCCTTCCAATACTATCATTCAATTCAAAAGAATAAAGGGCAGAAATTAAAATCGGAGAAAACAGAGGGAAACAAATTATGAATTGCTCAGTTGTCAAAAACTGCCAACATATTTATGTCACTGTCAAACGATTTATATAAAAATCTCAGTCAAAAAACACTTTAGAATAGATCATAATCCTAAAACACTTTTTTACTTTTCTCAAGCATCACTATGATGGACAATCCTATTCTTTTATATATTTCAGAACCAAAACATAATATAACATATAACTGAACAAAATATACCATAACCAGAACATTAGTTACCAAACCACTTCTGCCCGTATCAATGCCTAATACCCATTATTGGTCCCCGGAATCCATACCACCACAAACATGTTTCTTTCTCCTGGGCCTAATAGAAAGGTTGTCGTTGGTAGTAGTGACAACCACTCATGTTAGATAGGCGGGTCGAACAAGAAGCTTCCCCTGCAGCTTGCGGCCAAAAGCATAAATAGAGACATTCCAATGAGCATATTTGACTTAAACCTTCACGACTTCAGTAATGTCAGCAAAAGACTTACATGGACCACCGTAAAAGTGAGCATATCCCTCTCCAGATCTAAAATTTGGTGCAGGAGGCTAGTAGCTTTGGGGTGTTGTTTCAGAAGTAGACTTTTGAACCTCAGCCTCCTCAAAGTCTAAAGAGAGTCGAGCACCACCTTTGTCTTCTTCTCCTTGTGGTATAAGTATTATAATTGTTATATTGTAACTGAATAGATATGTAGTTATGAAAACATAATTTTCACGCAACCGCTGTATATTTTGTGAGTTGTGATGCAGGCAAAGGAAACAAGGGGAGAGTTAGCATCAGGAGTCAAATGTTACATGAACCAGTATGGAGTTTCAAGGAATGAAACCATTGATGAGTTTGAGAAGGAAAATACAAATACATGAAAAGATACAAACCAAGAATGGCTTCTTAGTGGATTTTCGGGAATACCCATGTTTGTCCTTGAGAAAGTTTTCAATCTCTCTAGGTTCATACATCTCATGTACCCAAAAGAGGATTGGTACACCAATGCCTACACCGTGGTTGTGGACTTGATCAAGACAGTGCTAGTTGATCCCGTTGAAATATGATTGATTATGCATCTTCAAAATTGCTGGTTGATTCCGTTAAAATATGCTTTGTTTATATAGTTTCCACATATGTATGCTTATTTAGTAATGAGTGATCTATGACTCTATCAAGATGTATGAACACGAGACACAAGTTACATGACTGTGCATTTATCCATTTATCTGGTTTTTCTTAATGAATGATCTTTAAATTTGCTTCAATCATGTCAAGTTTACACTACGCAGAACCAATAACAAAATGATTGTCATTTTCCAAAAGTTTGCTCTGGTCGAGTTGTAAGATTCTTAGTGTTAGTAGTGATAATCATCCATCATGGATACATGGACTGAAATATAGACTACTACTCAGCAAGCTTGCATTCTATATTACAACCTTAATATAAATCACAAACTTTTAAATTAATTATTGAAAATCATCAATTTAATCATCACTGAATTTCCTGGTATTGGTTAATTGTTGATAGATGGTGGAAAGGCTTAGATAATCCCACCAAAATAACATTTCCCCAAGATAGACTCGTAGAATGCAAGCTACCTATGGGCTTTGGGAATGTTTCTTGAGTCTAAGTATAGTTTTCCATGAATAAACGTGGCCAAATTGTTTGCTTTAACTTCCATATTAATTAGCTAAATTTTATGACGTGTATAGAACTCTTGGTCAACTCATGGTCAGTGCTCCTGAATAATGTGATACAAAGATATAATTCATATTTTAATATTTTTTATAACCATGGAAAGCAAATAAACATGGGCATTATATTAAACAGAAATTTCATAATATTTTTTTTGTTCATTTGTGGAAGATGGAATATTAGTTGTTTGGATGAATTGCCTAAGTACATGAGACCCTACTATCAAGCCCTAAATATTTCCTCCAAAATGGTAAAAAAGATCATCCAAAGTTGCTGGCAAAACATAATCAACAAATTTTATTATGAAATATCATCAGCACTAATCTTGATGAACCTTTCATCCACAGAATAACTTGACATCAAAATTTTTTATTTTGGGGTTTAAATTAAATCATTTCATTTTTATGGTATTTTAGATGCAAGCATTATCAAGAGCCTATCTTGAAGATGGAAGTTGTATTTATAGTGGTCATCTTCTAACATATGGTAAGTATATGAAGATTGCATTAGTTACTACTCCCTCCATCTAGAAAAATAATTCATAGTGATTTTGACAGTTTGTACCCATTTTAGTACAAATTTTAAAACTCCGTGTAGACCATTATTCTGGTACATAATGAGTAATACATATCCAATTTTTGCAACATGTCACCACAAAAAATAAGGGCTATTAATATCTTTTTTGTGGGATACTTTTTTCTAAAATGTGTCTTATTATATGTGTATTAAAACATTTGTTAAGAAAGTGTCCTATTGAAAAATAAAAAAGTGTGTTCATATCATGGAACACTACTATGTTTGGATTGTTTGTGAACTACTTCCCCCGGTCCTTAATATAAGACAATTTGATTTGCTCTAAATTTCACCTAATATGCATTTTCAATTGAAGAAAAAATCTTAAAAATATATTTTCACATTCGTTGTATTTTCCTAATTGTTACGAAATGTTTTTGAGGTTTTCTCTTTGTAAATTAAAAATGCGTACTAGGTGAAAGCTAAAACAAATCAAAATACCTTATACTAAGGATCAGAAGAAGTATTAACTTACTTAATGTGTCACTTTAAAGTGTTTTATTAAATGACGATCTAATAATACACTTTCAGATGTCTTATGACTTATTTTGACTCCATTATAGTAGACACTATTTACTAGCCTCCCATGCAATCCAGTCATATATGTCCTATTACATCACTTATTAAGATAAAAAAAAAGTGTCTCAACTACTAACGTTTGTTCTAGTGTGTTCAACTATGAATATGTAGGGAATTGTGAGTGAAGGCGCTAAAACAAATCCCACTATTGCTAAGAGCATCATCACTAACTGGTAGGTTAACGAACGACGTGGTTTCCTTTGAGGTACAAACCTATGATCATAATGAATTATATGCAATTATTTTTGGATGAAATCAATGTAATTTACTAAATACGTAAATACGTACTCCCTCGGGTCTTTAGTTATAAAACATTTTGATTTGTTTTAAGTTTCATTTAGTACATTCTTACAAATATTTTATAACAATGGGGAGGAGACAACAAATGTAAAAATACATTTTTAAGGTTTTATTTTCAATTAGAGGAACATACTAAGTAAAATTTAGGACAAATCAAAATACCTTATGATAAGGACCGAAGGGAGTATATAATAGGCGGAGCGAAAACGAGGAGACTTACCTTCAATAGTCAAATGTTACATGATGCAATCCGGTGTTTCTAAGCCCGCCCCAAGAAGTGATGGGCAAGATTTTAAGATTTTGAATTTGATGTATTTGTCCCTTGATATTGTTAGTTTTTAGGTGTGGCAAATTATATTTTTATTAAGAAAAAACACTCTAAAATTTCAAAGGGTGATAAGCAACTTTTTTGTTTTCAGTGGGGGCAAGGCAACTGCCCGCCAAACTTATATGTGCCTCCGCCTCTGTCCCTAAGGAAGAAGCCCTTGTAGAGCTTGAGATCAAAATACAAATGCATAGAAAGATGCAAACCAAGAATGGCCTTCTGGGTTCAGCTTCAGGAGTATTTATCATCAGTGGCGAAACTAGACATGCAACTTTGGGGGATGGATTTCATATTATATAGTGGTCGAAGTATATCGTATGTAAAATTTCAAGGGCAGATTAACAAATCTTATGATGGAGTTTTAATAAAGGAGGGGTCCCCTTGAAAACTAAGAAAGTAGATATACTAATTAGTAATATTTTATAATCTTTATGCTCCCAAGTCGTCTTCTTCCTCATCAGATCCCTGATGCAATTTTAGTCGTTGGAAAAAAGGATACGACGGAACAAGCAAAATTTCCGATCATAAGATCTCCCATGGTTCTCGGCAGCTGATCCCTCCCCCTTCCCCTGTGCACTTAGCTGGTTACACCGCTGTTTATGATCGTCCTTTGAGCGAATTTTCAAGAATGGCCTTATGTACCACTAGAGGATTGGTATACCCATTCCTTCACTGGACTAAAGACTTAATTAAATCGGCGTTGGTTGATCCCAATGAAATGTGATTCCTAACCAAATTTGCTTGTATGTAAATAATGTATATGTGTTTGTTAAATGCTCCATATTTCCAAATTGTTTGGATGAAAACACTACTTGTGATAGTGCTTCAACTTTATGATGATTTATGCACTGATCGAGTACGATGGCGACATATGATCTACATAACTAACCTCACCTAGTAGGAAAAAGACATGTTGTTTTACAAATAAGATTTTTCATTGTATGATATTCTTTTAAGTACAATGAAGGAGGTCAAATTACAAATCTATTGTAATTTGTAAACCTTCAATTTCAATACAATAATAATAAGAATAAACAATTGTTATTCTCGACTTGAAATTTTTCTTTTTGGTTTGTAAGAAATAAATTTATTACGATCACGTCCTTTATAATTAAGTCAATCCAAACGGACACGTGTCACGTTTCTAGTATCGAAGTCAATATACATGCCAGCCGCAATTTTTATGCAAAATAAGTCACCTCATATCAAAAATCCAGGTCTGATACTATCTTTGAAACAACTTCGCCTCCTCCTCTAAAAAAAACAACTTCGCCCTTCTCCTTCTAGCCCTTTTTCCCCCCCATATCTGGGCTTATTGAACTCTGTTCAACTCGTACAATGCAACTGAATTTTGGATTGTTAATGTAACTGTAGTATATCTCGGAAGTTAATACATCAGCAAGTCTCGTATCAAGATTCGATTTTTTTTTGTATGTTTTTATGTTTTGTCTCAAAATTAGTTAGATCTAGTTCTTAATTTTATTTTCATGTTTTAATAGATGAATTTTGGTTGAAGAGTTTAGTCTGAGTAGTTCATATTAAGGATTTTTTTTTCTTTTTTCTTTTTTTCTTTTTTTTTGGTTTTGGCGATTGAAAGCTCCTACTTGCTTTCAAAGATTTGAACTTTGACCTTCCGAAAGTTTCTTATTCGAGCAGATTGTGGGTTGTGGATGTCTTTTTATTGCTAGATTTGAAAGACCTATAATTCTTGACTTCTTTTCATCTTGATGGGAGGGAAGGTACTTTCTGACTTTCGACCCAGGAAGGTAACTAATTAAAACTTGCAAACTGTGCTAAATTTTTTTTAGATAATCCTCCCGTCACAAATATATGGGTCAACTGTTGTTGCCTTTCCGTCACAAATACATTCCCTTGTTTGTTTCGTTTTTTTAGTGTGTGTTTTAGTTATTTTTTTTATTCGGAATGTAAAAGGATATATTGAAAATGTAAAAACATAGGCTGGAATGAGACAGTTAATAATATTTAATTTAAAAACACTATCAAGAAAAGCAAACAAACAAAGCCAAGGGGAAACAATATTTACTTTAAAAACTTTTCTCATCCCTGCATATATAGATGTAGTGCGCGAAGAAAAAGCAGCAATTGGAGAATTGAATCAGTCATCTCCCAAATGACATTCTTATCTACATCCTCTCTTTTCTGAGGCTTGAAGATGCAATGAGGACAAGTGTTCTTTCGAAACGTTGGATAGATCTTTGGACGTTTGTTCCTAGACTCAATTTTGATGCTTCAAAGGATATGGCAGAGATTTTGAGCTTTGATGAATCCTTGTTGAAATTGGAAGACGGTAAGATTTATCGCAACTCTTGTCGACCCAAACGTCGGAATTATGTTAAGTGGGTTAATAAGGTGCTGCAATCTCACAAGTCCGTGGATTTGGACATGTTCAGAATTTGCTTTGATCTGAATCGATCTTACCGTCATCACATTGATAGGTGGCTTCAGTTTGTGTTTGCAAGGAGAGTGGAGAGGCTGGAATTACCATGGGTACTGCTTTAACCAAGAAGTCTTACATTTTTTCTCAGGGCTACTTTAACAATGGCATGAATATTAATTGCCACGCATTCAAGTCTCTCAAGGCTTTGAGTTTTGGATACATAGAAGTGTCTGTCAGAGTACTCAGATTTTTCTTGGATAATTGTCCTTTTCTTGATTTCTTATCAGTGGTGCAATCTAGTTGTCTAATAAGGTTAGAAGTTCGCGGCCCGTCTCTCAGAAGGGACTAAAACTCCAAACATCGCTCAGAAGGGACTAAAACTCCAGATCTAAATCGATAATTTAGATCTATATGGCTAGAAGTCTCAGATCTATATAGATCCTTCATTTGCAAAATCATTTAACCTCATATCCTTCTTCAATTTCTTCAAAGAGCTGTGGATCTTCTTCTTCTGTATCAGATCTGTTGAAGAAAACCTACTAAAAGTACATCTAAAGAAAAAAGCTCTCCCAAATGGGATCAACCAAAACTTCTATACGGAAGAGCAATACCCCATAAAGGGAGAGTGAAATTTCCACATACGGAAAGAGCAAAAACTAAAACTAGAAAACATAGTAAAAGAATTGAGCTCCTTCATCCACCATTAATGGTGGATGGAGAAGAGAAAGAAATTTTGAAAAAAGGGTTTTTTTTTAGAAAGAAGGAGGAGGTTCTCTCTCTAGAAATTTCTGAGGGCGTCTCGCAGGAAGATAGAACATAGAAGGAGACTTTCCCTATGGTTGATGATTCTTTAGCTGGGAAGATGAAAGAATTTTGCATTTCAATTTCCTTGTGGATCTTATTGGAAGACATCTAAAGCTCTGCTGGAAGAAAAATACACAATGGTGTGATCATTATGGACTCGATCCACTTAGTAAGAAAATGGCTTTGTTGTATTTTCTTCTTTTGCTAATCTTAATTATTTTTGTCTGTGAAGGCATAATTAAATTATGTTTTTGATTTATTAGATTTTAGTATAACCTGTAATCTTATTTGTTTTTCTTTTTCCTTGTGTTATATGTGGTTCGATAAATTTTCTAATTTTTTTTATAATCATCATGTAATTTTAAGTAGTGTATTTTATGCTTAATTAACATTATGTTTTATTATTCTTGATGCCTTAAATAGTAGTAATAAATATCCACGTGTATTTTTTCTCATGAGTATTTAAATCATACTAAATCTTATTTATGAGTTTTAAAATATTGTACTCTTTTTGGGTAATAAAATCTTATTTATAATTTTAATTTGAACCATAAGAAAATTAAAATTGTGTGCACATTATCACTGTATTGTATTTTGGGCAATTACTAATTCATGCTATTGAGATACTCTATCTAATGCCTGTTCCAAGACTGAATTTGGGTTTGAAGTCTGAAATCTGAATATTGAATCATAAATACTGAACTGATTAAGTTTGTCGTGTTTGATAAAAACCAAAATCTAAACACTGAATAAAATGTCTGAAATCTGAAGTCTGAACTCTAAAATTTAAAGTATTTCGACATATAATTTTATCTAAAAAAATAATTGATGTATATGAAACTATGATAATAAAAATAATAATATTATTATTAAATAATGTAATAAAAATATTTAAATTTTATTATGTTATTATTTTTTCAGTTAATAATTATGTCATATTTTATCATTGTCAAAAAAAATCATATTTTATGGTAAATATATATTGATCACGGAATTTAATGGATTTTAATTTTTATATAAAAATAAATATTTATTAAATAAAAAATAATTTACATAAATTTTAATTTAAAACTAGACATCATGATCAATAAAAATATTTTAAGATAAAATTTCAAAAGTATAAACATAAAAATAAATAAATAGAAAAAAATTCAAGAATTCAGTTCAGACATAAGTGATAGGCCTATCACTTATTTTTAGGCTCTTGTATTAACATTTCAAACCCACTTAATTGATTAAGACATCATACTTTGAGTTATCAAACACACTTAAAATTTAAGTCCTTAATACATTAAGTTCTTAATCAATTAAGTTGTTATGATATTGTGTTATCAAACAGTACTAATCAATTAAGTACTTAATTAATAAGTTTAAGTACTTAATTGGTTTATCAAACATGGCCTAATAATCAGAGAAAATTATTAATTTTTCAAGATTAAAATTTTATAAAGTATTAATTTATACAAGGTTTATAAATTTTTCTTGGTTAAGGCTTGACCAGGAACTTAGGCCCGCCTAATTGAGTGTGGAAGGTACGGATTATGGATAATGAATGATTCAAATGGGCCAAACAATACAAGGGAACGTCGCATAACACTTGAGTATTTTTTGGACAGCAAGACGGTATTTTTGTTGGGGGAAACTCTTAGCAAAACTTCATTAAGACTTGCATTATTCCGTTCGTTATATTTGTTTAAGTTTATTATAAAATAAATATAAACTAGGAAGAAGAAATATGAGAGAGAAAGAAGTTTCAGGTGCATCTTATTCAATAGGGACCGACCTCTATTTATATGCAAGTAGATACAGAGATAAGATCAATGAATATGAGTTCTAACTAAATATTATCTCTATACATAAATCCTAATATAACTCTTCTATCCTATGGACATCCACATTATTAATATATTTATAACACTCCCCCTTAGATGTCCATTTCTTGGGATAATGTCTCGTTAAAACCTTTACTAGAAAAAAAACCAGTGAGATAAAAATCTAATAAAGAAAAAGAGTACATTTCCATAGATAACGTTGCTTCGGTAAAAACCTTGTCAACCCATTGCGATAAAATCTCGATAAAGGAAAAAAGAGTACACCGTGGGGCTACTCCCCTTATTGAGTACGTCACCTGTAATCTTCTCATCACATGTTAATATGTTGACCAGGTTCACCATTGTTGAACTCAATAATGGACGGATCACTTTGATTTCCCTGCAGACGATCATTTTCATATATTGGTGACAAGCCATCGTCACACTAGTCAAATATTAATTACCTACTTAATACAATTACTAGCAGTAAAGCAGAAAGTAGGGTCGATCCCACAAAGAAGGTTACCAACTACCGGTTAAAATTATTTCTTATTATTATTTAGATTAACAATTTATCAATTTAAATTAATCTAAACCTAAAACTATCAATTGCAATTATTTAAAGATATAAATAAGTAAAAGAAAACCTAGGGCAAAGGGTTCACCTACCGACTACTCTGTTTAACTCAACGTATAGATATGTGACTTTGGACGTTCATTAATTTCACAACGATTCACCTATTTAAGAATTATTCACTGTCGCGATATAATTCTCTTACTCAAACTAACCCTATGACTACTGTCGTGACTATAGGGATTATTAAAAGCATATTAAAAACTTTAGAATCTCTAGCTACAAAGGAGGTGTTCCTACTGTCGTGGCTCACTACCTAAGTTTAATATTCCCATGAACTAATATTAACCTTCAACCGTCGTTCCTTCAGTTAAACACCTTTAACGCATGCAAGTGGTGATCAAATACTCACATGAAATAAAAACAAGAATATTAAATATCAACTAATGAAAAAAGTCACAATCATGAATTAAATTAAATTAAATAGTACGGCGGCTACATCCAAAATCCTAGATTAAATAATTTAGCTACACATCACTCCAAAATAAAGATAAAATTAAAACAAAAGAACCCGGAAAGAAAATCAAGTTTCCCGTCAATGCCACCGGTTTCTCCTTTGGATGATGATGGTGCGTGGAAATTGGGGCTGGCAGGATTTGGGCGTGGAGGTGGAGAGAAGGGATAAGGCTGATGGATGATGATGGTGCTGCGTGGAGAGAAGAGGCAAGGCTGATGGAGGCGTGAATATTGGTGGAATAAGGTGATTTGCGTGGGTTTTGTTTGGGTGAAGGGGTTGGTGATAGGGAGGTGTGATGGTGATGGAGGTTGGCGGAGTTGGGGGGGCTGCGGCAATGAAGGGTTTTGGGCGTTGATGATGATGATGAAGGTGATGGTGATGGTGATGCGTGGAGGGTGAGGGAAGCAAGGAGGAGAAGCTGGTGATGGGTGAAGATGGTGGTTGTGTGGAGGAGAAGAAGAGGTGGAGCGGCGGTGATGAAGGTGGCTGCCGCCGGTGGAGGAAGGGGGGTTGGGGTTTCGGTGAAGTTCGGTTTAGTCCCATCGTAAAAATAAATTCATAATTCTCCTTTTATAGACTTCCGTCAAAACCCTACTTTTTGGAGAGGAAGAAAACTTGTTTCTCAAATAATATTGGGATTAAAATTCTTATCCAAATTCAATCCCAAATCAGCCACAAGTCATTGTTTCGACCAATTTCCATGAACCAAACAAGATTCTAAAATTGCTTGTTATCCTCCAATTTTTCAAGTACTTCAATTTCTTTCTTGTCAATTTATCGAATCTTCAATTCTTCCTTTAAGTTGCTTTTATCTTCATTTTAGCCCACAATTTCAACAATTCTTCCTTTTGAGTACAATTCCTACAAACAAAGATAAAATCATATAAATAGCATATTTGTACTCAAAATATTGGCAAAATTTCATATAAAGGGGTATAATAAATAGGTAAATTATGAGCATATCAAGTACCCCCAAACTTGAAATATTGCTTGTCCTTAAGCATTTCCAAAGATTAAAACAAATAAAAACAGTTAATTATTTAATTGGGCGGCCTCAGAGATTCAATCATCATATAACACAAAAACCTCGACTAACTCTAATATGCACTACCCAAGAATATGCAAACTATAGCTACTTTTAGCCCCCACGCTTGTGTGTGTGTGTGTGCGATTCGTTTCTTAGGGACATCACTTTACATTTAACATAGAAAACAAAAGCTCTACTGCATATATGCCATATATTAAAACTTTAATACAAATCCACATTTCATACCATATTTCAATGCAATGGACCACCAAACATACTATGAAGTAGAAGGACTTATCTCACAGACAACCTATTCCCCCTCGTAACCCATTCTTCGGTCCATGCGGCTTTTCTTCAGGACTCTTTCCAACTCAGGCCACTACCCAGAGCATTTTTCCGCTCCTATACATAGTGGCTCAGCAACTTAGGGCAGTCTATATATCTATTTTTCTTCACCGGGCCTGAGGACTCTCCGCTCATGGTTGCCATTTCCTCACCTCTGAATGGGGCTAGCATCAACATTGAATGCTCTTCCTTTCTCCTTCATTAAAATTAACCTAACCTCAGAAGCATCCGCCAACGCCCCTCCCCCAAAATTACTTAACACAAAGTGTCAAAGCAATAAGGTTTTTTTTTAAGCTGATATTGGGTTAATGCCTTGCTTTTCCTTCACAACATGATGGGTTCCACATACAAATCATATAAGTATGAGTGAATCAAACACAACTTTTCATTGCATATCTACATCAAACTCATGCAGCTATGTCCCACTTTAGGCTTATCCCACAATCACGACTAAGTGCATAAAAAGCAGGGTATTCAAAGAAATATAGAAAAATGCATAAGTTAAGCAATACAATTCAAAAATAGTCTAATTCTTACATATTATAGATAATCAAACCAACTTCATCTTAGGCCTTTTTGGATTTTTCAATTTTTTCAATTTTTATTTTAATGAAAATAAACACAAAACACAAATTCCTCTCCCCCACACTTAAAGTATACATTGCCCTCAATATATAAAACACAAAAGACAAGACAATCAAGTG